AGGCCTGGGTCGCTGGAACTGGCAGCGACCCAGGCCTGCCATGCCCCCAAACCGCCATTGTAGGCATCACCATCTTGTTTTTTGTCTCTGTGCATGTGCAGAAATTTTTTATTGCACTGTGCATGCACGCTTGGCACACATCAAGCGCATTTGGCGTGACCATGAGCGAACCGGCAGTAGTGACTGCTGGAACCCACCCCTGCTCTGATGACTACGTTTAAGCTTTAATTGGTCTAAAATATAGAATCCATCTTTTCGTTCTGCCTCTCACTGGAGATCTGAATGATGCTAGACTCCTAACATCTAGAAATATATTAAAAATATAATTTTTGGGAAAGACATTTTTGGGTTAATATTTTCTCACTGGATATGTATTTAAATTTGTCTGATATATTTTTTGTATATGATTGATCATATAAGTTTCCTGAGTTATTTTAATATTCTGATTTCAAAGACTTTCATAAATTCTTTGGAAATAAAACGGTATAAAACTTTAGTAAAAAGATTAAATATTTTGTGGGTAAAGAATGGGGAACTGGACGTGGTCCAGAAACCAATTCCATTCCATACTTGCCTTGGTGAACTAGATAACAGTAGGAATCAATGTCTAAGAAAGGGAAAGGCTGACATCATCTATAGAAGCACAGATGCCAAATAAGGCCCAGAGTTTATCAATCTACAGTACATTTCACCTTATTCCATAGACAGCTCCTGGATGGTTCATCCCTTGTATGCATTTCTCTGCAGGAGAAGGTGTGTGCCTGAAAGAACACTTTCATCCAAGTATTGGCAGCTCTTCTTATACCATATGCATGAAGACTGCTTATGCAGGATGAAGCTAGCTCTTCCATGTTTGTCCTACTCTGAGTGGCATTAGAAGGCAAAATCAAGGCAGGTAGTTGATGAAGAACACCTACCAGATTGATTGTTCTAGGTTTTACCTCATGTTTTTTGCCTATATGAGAGTTAGAGTTGTGCTTGCTGGCATTGCCAATTCACCCACCTCTGTCTTGTTACAGTTAGCAGAGATGAAACATATTTTTTTCAGATTTCCAGAGAGCAAGTGCCATGTTAGATGTGTGCCATCACAGACTTCTCTGTTTTACGGATGCTAATGTTGTTCCTAAGATGAAATTAGCCTTTCATTTTTTTACTATGGCAACATATGAACTTACCAGTGTTTGTGAAAATTAAACACAAAGGAGACACGTCACCCTAATAAGACACCTTAAAATATATTTGATATGCTACTATTAAGTATACATTGGCAGGCAGCATTCATTTGGAGCCTTTGTCTGTTCGGTCAATAAGTGACGTTTAAGCATCACCAAAGGATTCATTGACACAATTGATTTCAGGGTCAATTGTGTCTCCTTTAAGAAGTCCCTCAGGACAAATTTACATGATAACTCATCATGAATACTGAAAAGCCATTAAATACTTGCCCATAATGAATGTGAATTACACATAGTTAGGACTACTGAACTCCCAATGTACTGCTAGCATATGAGAAATATTTCATGAACTTAGGGACAAAAATCTTCCAGATGACAAAATATTGACAAATTTACAATTAGGACCAATTAAAAGTTTGCACATTATCACATTACCCACACTGAAATTGATATATTGATATAAAACTATTCGTGGTTGCTTGGAGGAAAGTTTTCTCCTTAAGCTATCTATGCCGAAGCCACTCAATTGAAGGCTCTCAGTAAAAGAATAACAGACTACTGCAGTCATCAAATACACTAGTCTATTTTGGGTTCAATACTACTAGATTCAGTCTGCTATTAGTTTTTGACATTCTAGTTTACCCAAATCTAGTTTCAGTTCAGTATGGCATCAATTACACTTATATGATTGATTTATAAATTTTTGCATGAGTCTTACAGTCTGAGACAGTGGTGGGATTCAAATAATTTCACAACTGGTTCTCTGCCCTAATGATTTCGTCCAACAACCAATTCACCAAACTGCTCAGAAAGTTAACAACTGGTTGTCCCGAAGTGGTGAAAATTGGCTGAATCCCACCAATGGTCTGAGAATGTCAAAAGGAAACCTTGAGATGGGCTCGGATTCAGACAGTTCCTTCTAATGGAATATGTCTATATGTTGGAGGCAGGTTTCTTGCAGGATCAGGAGAACTGGGCAGGAAAATTGACCCCAATAGATAAGTGTTCTTCTGTTTGCATATGTTCTTGGGTAAAACATTGCAAATGTCCCTCAGATGAGTACACAGAANCAGTGCCTAGCTGCCTAGGATCAGACCTGCCATTGGACCCCCATGCACAATGCCCACCACCCCATCCCCACCATGATCCCAGGTGGTTGGACCTTGCTGCTGCTGGACCTACATTGCCCCACTGGGTTCGGGGACTTCTGCCCCTCATGCTGCACTTTGCAGCTGGCGGAGCCTTGCATGGACCTCTTCAGAGTGCTGGCTTTCTTGGAGCAGTCACCCTGATCAACTTGGCTTTTGGCACCCTCTGCAGCCTGCTCTGCATGGAGTCGAGTTGCTGGCAGGTAGCGATGCAGAGACTGAGGGAAGGGAGCCCAGGTAGCAATTTTGCTCTCTGCTTGTTGGCCAGAAAGAGAAGCTGCCTGTGAGGGAGCACATGGAACAAAATAAAGGCACTCTGGGGATCCCCCTCCCAAAAAAAGACAGCAAGGAGTCCCGGCCTGGAGCCCCCCCCCCAAAAAAAAACTTTTCACCACCGCTTCGGTGGGTGTGGGTTGGGAGAGTCATGTGACTGAGTGTTTGTGTGTGCAATCAAGTTGGTTACACCCACTCAATCACATGCCCCCATCTAGCCACACCCACTGAACCAGTAGTAAAAAAAATTAAAACCCACCCCTGTCCCAATTATACGTATATCCTCTGTTGATTTGCAGCCTTTTTAAAAATGCCTTTAATGCACTTTGTTTATAAGAAGAGTTCTGCACAGGCATTTTGTTACAGGAATGTGTGTAAAAAAAATTGTTTAGTATGTACAAAAGTGATTATTGCTAATATTAACTTGAGCAAAATTCTACTGAAAATATTTTTGGTATCCTTTTATTGATTAGTTTATATTTTCTCATTTTTTTCATATTCCTTTTTAAAAAGTGTTTTGTGATAAATGTATTTGGCATTTATAGTTAACTTATTGGAACTGCAATTAATTTATGAAGTTATTGAAAAAGTTATTGAAAAAGTTAGAAAAACTAAGATTTAGTAGAGTTGCTGGATGTTCAGCAAAAAGATAATTCATCTAATAAACATTGAAGTAACTATGCAAGTATTTCCTTGATTGCATCTGTTGGGACAAACTTTTGATTGCATACCCATTAATAATTTGGCAACCATAAGCTCTAGTATCCCATTTACAGCTCTTATTCATTGAAAAGGTTGGAAAAAGGAACTGAAAAAGCATTTCATTAAGCAAATACAATTTACATGACAGTTGTAGTGTAAGAGCAGACTAAGTTATAATTCTTACTAACTATACAGTGACCTATTTTAAAGAAAGTAGAATTTCTTGAACTCAGTTAGTTCCAGTTATATGTTCTTAGGTTGTTAAAATATTTATACTCCTAAAGCAGACTCACTGATCTTCTATGCTATGCTAATGTGACTGACATTAGCCTACCTTCATTCCACTGTATTATTTGCCAGTAGATAATGATATCACGATTTTTTTTTCAAAATTGTCTCTTTGGAAAGAAGACAGATCTCCTCTCTGTAGATTCACATAAAAGTGTCTTTTTCTGATTGTTTCAGAGCATTAATGCAGGGAATATCACAGGAATTCATTCTTGTGAGGTTCCAGAATAAATGGAAGTGTTCTTTTCAATTGTATTTTGGGATATTACTCTTATTAGTATTTTGCAATGAGTATCTTTACCTATAAATGTTTCATTTTTTTAGGTTCAGAGGACTACAGAAGTAGATTCAGTGGGGAGTGTTTTATGGACCTCATCTGTCCTGAGAAATGCCGCTGTGAGGGAACATTTGTGGACTGTTCCAACCAAAAGCTTACTAGGCTTCCAAGTCACCTTCCAGAATATACCACAGATCTGTAAGTGTAACATTTTTGTAAGAAAAAATATAAAATGCTTCACTATAAAAATTATAATTATTTTGTGGCTCCAGCCAGATGTTATCAAATACATCAATGGGCAATTTTTACTGACAGACCCTAGCCAATCTTGAAAATCTAAATTGATGTTAAATTGATTAATACATGGATAATATGATGAAAGTATTATAAAATCTCAAACCTGTAATCTGGATTAGTAACTTCATGATTGAGGGAATTGGAACCTGTGTTTCTCTAATCTACTTCAACACAATCACAACTATATAGTTTTCCTTTTCGCAATATTCTGCAATGAATATATGTGTAGGTGCTGAGGCATCTGGGACCAAAGATCTTTCAATATTTTTATTTTTATTTTTCAAAAGTCGTCTACACGATAATGATATTTCAATTCTGGAAGCTACTGGAATATTCAAGAAGCTCCCTAGTCTACGAAAAATGTAAGTCATTTCTTTTATTTGTTAATAGAATCCTGCTGGCTGAAATATGAAATATTCAGACTGCATGTTTATGTATATTTAACTGAAAATAAGTCCCATATCAAAATATTTAATGTTTTTTAACCTAACCACTATGCTTTACAAAGCATTGGTTATTTTATGGATACAGTATACTGTGTTAGTTTTGGAACAGGCTGATATAAGGTAGTATTGTATAAGGTTTCTTATTAACTAGCTATTGTTCTTTTAGCTGCTATTTCAGTTTTGTCAGGACAAATCCAAGCAATATGACATGTGCCATAATCTCATATTCACAGTGTTTCAGAGTAGGAAAACACTTAATGGTTGGTGTTGACATCTTTTAACAGACCTCTTCATGGTAGCCTAGTAGATATGTACCCCTGTAATAAATATTATTCCACAAAATCTGGTGGACATTTTAAGGATATAACTTAGATCCACAAGAAAATGGTTAATGTCTTATGTCTATTAGTTTGCATTTACATCTGAAATGAATTTATAGTGTAATAATATTGAATTACCTATGTCTGCTGCCCAATGTTAAATTTAGAGGAAACCATATTGCTGGTAT